TTTACGAAGTCCCCTTCAACCTTAAACAATAATCCCTAAAAAATCTCCAAAAAACGAAACGTCGACTAAAAAACTTCGCAACTTCGGTGCCTTTTCGGCCACAAAAACAAAACCCCCTTTGCTTTTCGTCCCAAAAACAATATCCAGCTTGCTTATAAGCCACCTGTGCCGAGCCCTGCTTGGGGTCACTCTCATTTTTGTCAAATAAATTGCTCAGAGAATTGTCAGGTGTGGGCGGTTTTCTTATATATATAGCTGAATGTCTGTTTGTCTGTCTGTCTGTCTGTATGTGTGTACGTATGTTCCGAATAGAAAATTCCATTTCTGAACCGATCGGGACCAAACTTGGCACACATACACTTCGGGGCAGGGCGGCTGTCATAGGCTACTTTTCGTTATCGATCGGCATCGATTTTATCGATTTTTTGGAAGATTGGAGCTACAGGGCTGGGAGATGGCACAGGGGGGTAATCGAGCACGCTGATTACAGATATTAAGTTGTCCCGAAAGTTTTGTCGGTTTTTTCAAACCACTATAAAACCACGCACAATAAATATTCAATGAGTTTCAACACGCATTCGATGCAGCTTTTTCTTCTCTTTCTCATGGATACATTCTCGAGCCACAATCTTGTATGCTTTTTTCGATGTTTGTTAAAATTCTCCATCCGCCAATTTTATCTGCTCAAAGTTCGGCTAATTTTTAAAAATTTCATTTTAAAGTTTCTAAAAAGGTTAAGTAGTACGATTCTTATAGAGCAAATCTTGGACTATAAGGTTATATTTTTAGTTTCTCCTGAACTGCTGTTTTTAACTTGAAAAAAATTATATCTTAAGAGGTCTCGATTTCTGGCAAAGTCATGAAACACCCAACTGCAGCAAATACACGAAAGCTTTTTAAGTTTCTGCGTAAAACGTGATTCTTATTCAACGTTATTTGTGCAACATAAACAAGTTTGATTTGCTGCAAAAAGCAGCTTTTTGGAATTTTCGGTACTTTTACGTGGTAAACGTAATCAAAAAGTCGCGGTTTTTATCAAATAATTAATTATAACGGACTTGGTTTACGTGGCCCACGTGATCTAACATGGATAAAATGTAGCCAAAGGTTTGCTCTACATAACAGTTACCATCGCTGTTCGAAAACATCAGGATAAAAAATTTTAAAATTCAGCAAAGATTTGGCGTTACTGATGAGCTGCTCAAAAAGCCATGGCGATAACATTGCAAAGACAGGGCAGATCAGAGAGAAAATATAGCTGTACTAGATGGCTCACCCGGCTCCGCCCGGCCCTGATTGATTAAATCGAAAACTATGCTTTTAACGGAAATGCTCATTTGGCAGTTTACACTCACTGATATAAACCAGTAGTAGAAAATCTTTCGATGATTTTGTGCCACGTGGTTTGCGAACGGACTATATGTGGAGTATCACCTCAAAGGTAACCAAACGTTATTCATGAACAAAACACAGCACTCAGATAACCGCCGGGGGCAGGCAGACCGCGCGTTTATCTGCAGTCGGTCAGCAGAATTTTAGATGGTCAAACATTCAGCGAGCGGTACTTCCTTTACTGTTGCATGTTCTGCCAGCGGGCAGCAATACAGAGTTTTTGCGAGCGCTCCGTGAATAATTTCTTTCATCGAGCAGTGGACAAATTTTCAGCGAGCGCTCTGACTCTTTTTATGCACTATCGGGCCCACGCCGAGCGAAGGCAAAACTCTACATGGCAGAGGTGTCATTGGTGGTTTAATTACCCGAGTTTAAAGTTCTCTCAACGGAAGGTACCTAACGGCTGTGCGGTCCTTCACAAAAAGCCGTGCGGCCCTCAACAATTTTGCAAATTCTCTCGGAAAGTCCGCGAGAATGTGGCCACTGCACCGCAACTATGGAAAAGCCGCGGTTGTTCTCTGGGCGTTTGTCTAAAAAGTGGCTAACTTTCTTCCAAATATCTGCAAGAATTACCGCAAGAAATCAGCGAACTATTTTTCCGGTGCCCGCTTGCACACTAGTTGGCAAACCCGGCTCCGCCCGGGCTTGTCAATAATATATCAAACTAGATGGCTTACCCGGCTCCGCCCGGCCCTGTCATTATTTTATTCGTAATCAGCATGCTCGATTACCCCCCTGTACCAACTCCCAGCCCCGTAGCTCAAATTTTGCAAAAAATCGATAAAATCGATATCGATCGATGACGAAAAGTGGAGTGTGACACCCGCCGGGGCCCGAAGTGTATGTGTGCCAAGTTTGGTCCGGATCGGTTAAGTAATGGAATTTTCTATTCGGAACATACGTACAGACATACAGACAGACGGACATACAGACAGACAGACAGACAAACAGACATTCAGCTTTATATTTAAAACCAGTGCGTCACCTCTGCTTCGCAGCGGCTAGCGATAGCCTACATAGCGCAGAGGCTCGCACTGGCCCTATTTTCTGTATGCTTTACACATTCCCGCATAATAATGACATTGAAACTCACCGCGCTATGTAGACTATCACGAATATTTCGTAAACAACTACTCATTCGTAGAGGTCATGTGAGATCGGTATTTTCGCGGGGATAAAATCTTTCCTAGAAGAACAGATGCAAATTCGAATAGGTTTTTGGAATTTTTTGGCTTGGTAGTCGCCGTAAGGACAACAAACATAGTGGGCTACATCGCTGTGCAAAAATCTTCTCAAATGATCAGGTAGAATTTTGAAAAATTGACCGTTTGCACAGCAAATGCTTTTTGGCGCTGTTTTCGTAAAGTAGTAGACTTTTCATCACTTTTTTAGGCTAACGTCCATGGCTTGCACATTAGCTTGTCAATATATCCTTAACTCTGCAAAAAGTAGTACTACGGACCCAAATTTGCTGGCCAGAAGCCAAGTGGATCCGTTTGACGCGCAATTTTCAATGGATCCACCAAACGGATCCGCTCATGCTTTTGTATAGTGAGCTTTCATGCTGGTAACGTGCGCTATGCAAAATTTGGGCTTAGGACGTTGGCTGGAACACGCTCTACGAATTTCGTTACGGATACATATATATATACACACACACACACACACACACACACACACACACACACACACACACACACACACACACACACACACACACACACACACACACACACACACACACACACACACACACACACACACACACACACACACACACACACACATACACATACACACACACACACACATACACACACACATACACACCCTTAGCCGTTATTATAAGTTATGATTGTCCCGAAAGTTTTGTCGGTTTTTTTCATCGATCACTGAAACTCACAGAACACCAATCCATGGGCAAGCTAGGTCCATTTGATTCAGATTTTTATCCTCTTTTATCTTAAATATAAAGCTGAATGTCTGTTTGTCTGTCTGTCTGTCTGTCTGTCTGTCTGTCTGTCTGTCCGTCTGTCTGTCTGTATGTCTGTCTGTATGTCTGTCGCGTCTCCGCGATGCGAGCGCTCCTAGAAGTAAAAAGCCGGGAGCACTGGTTGCTGTCGCGCTATCTGGCGACGATTACGGTACTTTCCTACGCTAGCCGCAATCGCCGCTGGACCTCTCCTCGCCTTGGCGCGTTGCCAGCCAAAAGGCTATATATAGCGTCGGCGCCTCATTGCAGCGTCTGTTCGCTTTCGTTTTCGACCGACTATCTTTTCGTATATTTTCATTTTGTTCGTGCCTGGTAGTTTAGCTCCCGCCTTTGACATCTCTTTCGCTGTAGCGGTCGAGCGGATCGGAAGATCTACTAATCTGGAATTCGAGCCTGATTTGGGATTCTTTTTGGACGCGCCATTTTTGGAGCATTTGAGATTTAGGACATTTACATATTACGAACTTCGGAAGCGGAGAGGCTGTCGCGCCTGGTATCCGGCGACGCGTGGCGGATCTGTTTAGGTGAAGCCTCGGGAGCATATTTCTTGTTTGTGTTTATAGTCGTGCGCATCGGTAGCACGGGATGGGGCAGCTCGTCCCGTGTTGAGTTTATTATCGTTTAGTAGTTTAGTCTCGATTTTAGTAGTTTTCGCCGTAGCTTAGTTGTAAGTTTTTTCTATAGCTTTTTATTGTCCTTTGATGTCATAAGGACAAATCCTTAGTGTTTAATGTGTTGCTCAGACGCGCGTAGGGCAAGTAGTAGGGTAGGCTGCGTCGTATGTAGTAAGCGGACGAACGTGCGGGTGTCTCGGATAAATTAGGTGCTTAGGGCCCACCGAGCCGCCACATGGTGCATCGTCGCCGAGCGCATGGTGGATGCGGTTTTTCCATCCGCGTGTAGTGTTGGGAAGCCGCGTTGCTAAGTCGCGTTGGGTAGGTAACATCTCAGCAGGTTTTCGCGCACTAGTAGCGCAGTTTCTAGCTATCCCATCCTCCATGCGTGCGTAACTCCCGTAGTCTACCACGCCCCGCACCTAGTTTAAGTCCAGGTAAGCAGTGGGTAGGGCATGCGTTCAGTCGCGTCATTCAGGTGTCAGGTAACCCATTGGTTTTGCAGCCTTGAGCGTAGCCAGCGCGTGGGGTGACCTAGTAGTAAGTTGGTGGCAGCACTTACAGCTATAAGCTCCTGACGTCAGCGCGCTGTCTTGCGCAAGGACGGGTATAACAGTGGACCAAGTCTATCTGCGAGTGCGAGGTGGAGTCGTTGTGGCGGACCTTACGCTACTGGAGCACACGCCACTGGAACATCACCGCTGGGAGAGGTAACTGTTGCAACGTTCGCCATGTCGTTCTTTCAGATAGCCCTGACGAAGCTGTTTGCATTGCTTTTGTGTTATTCGCGCATTTGCTACGGCTTGCGATTCTGCCCTCGTTTGACAACCCTATTTTGCTCCTTACCTTTGCGCCTACTACGTACCCCTAGCGTGTTGGTCAGTAGTACGCCCCTCTTTAGGGTTTTTAGGTTAGGTTCTGCTCGTATATGTATTTACTCGATTTATGTACTCGTTGTGTGCACATATATTTCCGTTGCTCCTGCCTTTTACATTCCAGATATGTCGCTCCTTGGATTCCATAAGTCCCAACTCACCAAATTAGCTAACGTGCTACGCAAGAAGATCGCGGAAGCCGAACAGACCAACCTGGAAAGCAACGCCGCCCTCACCTTCAACACAGGCAAGGATTACGAGTTTGTCATCAATCGTAGACGTTTGCTTTCGAATTTTATTTCTTCCATCAAGTGTGCTGCTTCCTATTTACGCACTCAGCGGGATGAAGCTGAGGAGTTTGCTCGTCAGAGGCCGGACGAGCAGGGAGAGCATCCCCTCCTCTTGGAGATCCACGCGCAGTGGGAAGCCAGTGAATTGACGGATCTCTTGGAGAAGGCGGACATTTGCTTGAGCGTTTGGATAATGAGATCAAACTCCTTCCGAATGTGGATGTGCTTTATGCGCGTTGCCTTTCGTCGATTGCTTCCACCCAAATTGTCCCTAACCCCGCGTCGTCCCCTTCTTCTTCTGATGCTGCTCAACCCCAAGTGCCCGCTCAACTCGTGCAGGTCCCTCCTTTTCAGGATCGTCCATCGGATCCTTCTTCAGTCGCGCAGTTGACCATTACCCTCTCGCGAGTGACGCAGGGAACCCTCAGCAGGGAGACCAGCGTCCGCGAGTCCCTTCTGGATTTGGCAATCCCCAGTCGACCCGTCCTCCTGCTCCGACGAGCATGCACCCTCTTGGATTTCAAACCCTTTCGCCAAATCCAACTTCAGATCTCCCATTTGCATCGACTAGCGTTCCATCTTTGTCTACCTCGTACAGCTTACCCTCATTCGAGATACCGTTCTTTTCTGGCGATATGGATGCGTTTCCTGAATTCTGGAACATCTTTGCTGCTTCTGTGCATAACAACAACAGCGTACCGGTAGCTGTCAAGTTCATGTACCTGAAGACGCACTTAAGAGGAGATGCAGCGAACATCGTCGCGAACTTCCAACCCACTGAAGAGAATCATGAGGATGCAGTACGTACGATCCAAAGCACCTACAATCGACCGGAACATCTGCGAATGCGTCTTTGGGACAAGCTCAACAAGCAAGCGACCGCAAAGGAGTCTGCGGCTTCACAGCGCGCTACCCTTGGTTCCATCAGAGCTATTTGGTCCCAGATGAAGCGCTTGAAGGAAGAATCGTTGATAGGTGCACTGAACACGATTCGATCGAAATTTCCCCGACGTACGCGTGAGAAGATTGGCGAGATGAAGAATAAGGAAGACCAGATGTGGAGGTAGACGAGCTACTGACAGCATTTGATACGGTTATCGACAGGCTGCAGTTAGTCGAAGACACCGATCCCACACCCTATGCCATCTACAGCGCCGATTCTACAGTCCGTCAAGCTTCTTCTTCCACGCATAGGTACACCAGCGATAGTCCGACGCGAAGTAGGCCGCAGTATCAGTCATCAGTCTGCCCCAGATGTTCGCGCAGCTTTCGCCCACCATCTCAGTACCGTTCGACTAAAACCAGGACACCATCCCCGTACTACCCGCAACGTGCGTCTCGCAGACCAGGATGATTGTTGCATCTTCTGTTTGGTTGAAGGATACCAACCGCAGGATTGTGGAAGTTCCCGGTCCTAGGCAGCGCAGAGCCATCGTCGGCCAAGAGCAACTCTGTTGGCTACGCTTGGGTTACGGACATCTTGCGAAGGTTTGCTCGGCACCTATGTGCCTATACTGCGGTAAAGCTCACCATCTAGCATTGTGCCTAAATCCACCACGAGCGCGCAGTTCGTTCTTTCCCACGACACGTTTCCATCGTCGACCTTTTTCGCCTAAGCGCGCAGTTTGCGGAAACTCAGACTTCTCCAGACCACGCACAGCACAGGTCGCGCTCTTCTTGACCACCTGCTAGGAACCTCCCAGTTCTTCTTCTACATTTTTTACAATTTTTTCACTTTTCTTGTAATTTTGCTTTTCTTTCTGTTGCTTTGGTACCTAGGTTACCACGCACGGCGCTTTTCTTCTCTCTGTCACGAGAATGCTAGTTCCGTACCATATGAATTGACAACTTACTATGAGCGACCGTGACGCGCCTTTAGAGGACAGTGTAGGTAAGATTAAATGAAAGTTTTGGTTCCTTTCATCTATTTTTTGTAACTTTTACTTTTTTCTCTGCATTTGTCCCTTTGTTTTACAGAGGTCATGAGCTCATTTGATTTTGCCGCGCTTAACCCGGCTTTCGACCGTAGCTGCACCTTTTGAATATTGTAGCCAGCTTGTGACGTACTCTATTCGCCCTCTTTTCAAACGCAAACATCGCTAGCGCGTCGCACACATACCTTTCCTGAGACTGCCCATCTGGTCGCGGGAGGCTGGACTACGTCCATTTTTGCGTTTTTGCGTGAAACAATTGTTTTTGCCACAGTAACACCGGCGTAAAAAGGTTGCAGCATGCTAAGCCCCATACCATCGGGGAGGAAACTATCCCTTGCGCTCTTGTGTGTGGTCATTTCGCGTTCGCGCGCGCCTTAATTCATTCAGAGTTGCAGGCGATAGAATGTGGAAGGGTTAGTAGCTGTCAGCAGAATACCACTACGATAGACACTTATCGGCAAGCATTGTTCCTTCTATCCTGTTTTGGCCTCGTAAAGTTTATGTGTTACAGTACTACTGCGATATGGTAGCACATTTGACCCGTTGAATCAACTCTGTTTGTCGTCTACTTCAACAACATTGGTCCCCGTCAGTTACGAGCAGCAAGCAGCCTACTACCCGTACACAGTCCGATTATGATTACTTGATTTTGTGTAATTTTTTGTATTGTTCGTTAGATGCGCTTTCGTGCGCTCTTAAAGGATGGTTGTTGTGGACACGGGACGGGTTATCTTCAACCCATTTTCTTTTGTCGCGCTCTTACTGTGCTACCGATGGATAACCTTTATTTCTTTTTCGCTCTGTCATCCAAAAATTTCGGCTAAAGGCATTAACCGCAGATTCCTGGTGCTATCACGTAACCACCTCTCGAACGCCCAAGCCCACTGTCGCGGCTTCGCGATGCGAGCGCTCCTAGAAGTAGGAGGCTGGGAGCACTAGTTGCTGCCGCGCTATCTGGCCACGATTACGGTACTTTCCTACGCTAGCCGCAATCGCCGCTGGACCTCTCCTCGCCTTGGCGCGTTGCCAGCCAAAAGGCTATATATAGCGTCGGCGCCTCATTGCAGCGTCTGTTCGCTTTCGTTTTCGACCGATTATCTTTTCGTATATTTTCATTTTGTTCGTGCCTGGTAGTTTAGCTCCCGCCTTTGACATCTCTTTCGCTGTAGCGGTCGAGCGGATCGGAAGATCTACTAATCTGGAATTCGAGCCTAATTTGGGATTCTTTTTGGACGCGCCATTTTTGGAGCATTTGAGATTTAGGACATTTACATATTACGAACTTCGGAAGCGGAGAGGCTGTCGCGCCTGGTATCCGGCGACGCGTGGCGGATCTGTTTAGGTAAAGCCTCGGGAGCATATTTCTTGTTTGTGTTTATAGTCGTGCGCATCGGTAGCACGGGATGGGGCAGCTCGTCCCGTGTTGAGTTTATTATCGTTTAGTAGTTTAGTCTCGATTTTAGTAGTTTTCGCCGTAGCTTAGCTGTAAGTTTTTTCTATAGCTTTTTATTGTCCTTTGATGTCATAAGGATAAACCCTTAGTGTTTAATGTGTTGCTCAGACGCGCGTAGGGCAAGTAGTAGGGTAGGCTGCGTCGTATGTAGTGAGCGGGCGAGTGTCTGCGGGTGTCTCGGGTAAATCTAGGTGCTTAGGGCCCACCGAGCCGCCACAATGTCTGTACGTATGTTCCGAATAGAAAATTCCATTTCTTAACCGATCCGGACCAAACTTGGCACACATACACTTCGGGCCCCGGCGGGTGTCACACTCCACTTTTCGTCACCGATCGATATCGATTTTATCGATTTTTTGCAAAATTTGAGCTACGGGGCTGGGAGTTGGTACAGGGGGGTAATCGAGCATGCTGATTACGAATAAAATAATGACAGGGCCGGGCGGAGCCGGGTAAGCCATCTGGTTTGATATATTATTGACAAGCCCGGGCGGAGCCGGGTTTGCCAACTAGTGTGCAAGCGGGCACCGGAAAAATAGTTCGCTGATTTCTTGCGGTAATTCTTGCAGATATTTGGAAGAAAGTTAGCCACTTTTTAGACAAACGCCCAGAGAACAACCGCGGCTTTTCCATAGATTAGTTGCGGTGCAGTGGCCACATTCTCGCGGACTTTCCGAGAGAATTTGCAAAATTGTTGAGGGCCGCACGGCTTTTTGTGAAGGACCGCACAGCCGTTAGGTACCTTCCGTTGAGAGAACTTTAAACTCGGGTAATTAAACCACCAATGACACCTCTGCCATGTAGAGTTTTGCCTTCGCTCGGCGTGGGCCCGATAGTGCATAAAAAGAGTCAGAGCGCTCGCTGAAAATTTGTCCACTGCTCGATGAAAGAAATTATTTACGGAGCGCTCGCAAAAACTCTGTATTGCTGCCCGCTGGCAGAACATGCAACAGTAAAGGAAGTACCGCTCGCTGAATGTTTGACCATCTAAAATTCTGCTGACCGACTGCAGATAAACGCGCGGTCTGCCTGCCCCCGGCGGTTATCTGAGTGCTGTGGTTTGTTCATGAATAACGTTTGGTTACCTTTGAGGTGATACTCCACATATAGTCCGTTCGCAAACCACGTGGCACAAAATCATCGAAAGATTTTCTACGACTGGTTTATATCAGTGAGTGTAAACTGCCAAATAAGAATTTCCGTTAAAAGCATAGTTTTCGATTTAATCAATTGGAAAGCGCTTATCTGGATAGAAACAACAAGTAAGGATAAACAAAATTTTCACCAGAGGTGGTCACTTTTACATAACACATTTCAACTTTTTGCCATATTTGGTGATAAGAGTAAAAAAAATGGTATATAGTTTCCATGTGCTCTCTTCTTCGGACCTCGGCATTAGTTGACTTTGTGACTTGATTTTGTGCTAGAAAGGTTTTTATGGTGGACCTTTATTGCCTAACGTTTCGACAAATATCGTCTTCTTTGGAGGCCTGAAAGGGATGACAGTTTTGTATTCGTCAATCTATACGAAAACGCACTCTAACTTGCGGCGTTTAGACCTTGTCTAGGTACAACGTGATGGAAAACAATCTGGAGTGGGTGTCACCAACCTTCAGTCCACCGTGGAGTTAGTAGTCTGAACGACTGTGGCGGACACTACTGAGGAGTGCTCAGTGAGTCAAAGCTCAAAGCTATATATACAGTCTGCGGTTATAGATGACATAGTGATATGAAGGACAGAGGGTCACTGGCCATGTCAAGCACTCATCTATATCTCATCAGCAGCTATATATAGATAAAACTCAATCTCTGTAAATTTGTTAGTATGTAAGTATGTGGCTTATAGACTCCTTTGTTTGTGAACCGATGAGGCTGAAATTTGCTCCCCTATAAATGAGGCCAGGCACAGAAGATAGGCTACTTTTTGCGACGATTCATTGGGTCCTTCTATCGATTTATTGATTATTTGCAACCCAAGTAGAGAAATGAAGCGGCACTGTCATATCATTTTCATCGAATCATGTGGCAAGAGCAGTATGTTTCATTCTAAACCTCTATCATCAAAGCAGGGTGAAAAGCGTTTGGAAATGTAGGTTCTACTTTCATGTCTTTTGCAAAATACATTAACTTTATGGTGCGAGTGGCTACAACGCATTAAAGGCAGCGTTCAGGCAAGTCTGGACACATGGAGATCTCATGTGGATAGTAGTTTTGGGGCCCTAACTAAGCCACTGCCCAGCCGGCAGCTCAGATAGTGCTCTAACGGCTGAGATATTCTCCTCGGAACTGGACCCCGGGATCGTACTTCGCATGGATTCATGGCGCAAAGCTGGGTCCTCGGGCGAAACTGCCATGGATCCATGCTAACAGTTCCTGGGGTCCACTTTGAAGGCGCATATCTCTGCCGTTAGTGATTTACCTGTGCTGTCGCTTGGGCAGTGCCTTAGTTAGGGCCCCAAAATTATTTTCCACGTAAAATCCCCATAGGTCCAGATCTGCCTGGGCGCTGCCTTTAAAAGAACTGTTGTGATGTCACTGTGAGCCAATCGATATTCGTCATACTTTTGTTCGCCAAAACAGCGTCCACAAAAGTGAAGGCTTTGAATTTTGTAGTGAAGAGTCAAACGATTGTAAAAACAGTCAAACGATTATCTCATAAGACAGGGAGCGTTAATTCTATGTCATGCACAAAGTGGAGAAAAGGTTATGAAGTATTTACTCTTTGAAACAAAGACAAGACAAGCGACAACTCACTTACATTCGCTATAGTTGATCCCTGGGACCAGGAAAGTGCGCGAGTGCAAAATACTGCCGACTCCACAAAAATTGACGGCAAGCAGTGAACGAAGATGAAATAGCCGGTTAGCGGCAAAGTGTCACAAAAAATGATCCTCATAATAACAATGAACGCTGCTATCAATTAACTCGCGCTGCTTGCTTAGGTTTCGCGTGTTGAACTTGATTTGGAGAAAGAGAGATATGCTACCGACTAATAAGTGTTCACATTTTGTTTTTGTTCTTTACACAGTTTCTACAATGCCACCGAATACCTTATCTTCATTCCCGATCAGTGATCATTCCCGGGCTGGATTGGGCAGATCAGCTAGTTTTTATTATTCATCCCCGGATTTCCGGCGGATATCCATGCCTCTAATGCCTTTCTTGCCGAAATTTCAGTCTCATACCTTAATGTCGTGCATTTTACGTTAAAATTGTCACCTTTATGTGCCTCGACTCTATGTTTCCCCAATGGTAATGACATTGTACCCCGCCTTTTGCCGCAGATGTTCCTTCAATCTAATACTTAAACTTCCTGTCTCTCCTACATGAGTTAATCCACAACTCTAGGGTAAACAAATATCCTCCTTTGCACAATCACCTAACTTCGTATGGGCAGACGATGCAGTTTTCAGATATACAGTCTATATCATACAATCTATTTCTGATCAACCGCTTTCTGATAGTAATGTTCTGTTGAGCAGCATGACCTCGTTCTGTAACTGCGCTCGTGCTATGCATCGTTTAGTGGCTTCAGTAAATCTGTCAGATACAAAAGGCATGCAAAGGGAAATCTTGTTGTTGTTGCTTCGCATAGATTCTTTAACGTATTTAGATAGATTTTGGATTGCGTTATATATCCATTGCTGCGAGCAGTTTTGCGTGCTAGTTGTAATGACTTTAATCGTTCGCTCTCGCCCGTACAGACTTCTGCAGCGGTTTTATACATGTTGTAGATAACGGAACGTTTTATAGCTGTACGATGCGCTGAAGTGGCGTGGACAAGAATGTTTTTGGAGATTTTTTTCTGTACCATTCGATTCGAATAGTACCGTCAGATAAATTCACCTGAGTGTTCAGGCTGCGTTCATACTGATCCCGAAGTTTGGGAACAGTTCCAGCACAGCGCTCAAATTTAGCGTTGTGCTTAGACTGTTCCCGTATTACGAAATCAGTATGAACGCAGCCTCAGAAAGGAAAGCCAGTCACTGTGCGGGGTTTCTCGCGTAAGCTTTATGTACTGAAACGCTGAGCAATATTCTAAAACATTCACACATTTCTGACAGTGTTGAGGTGATAACGCAGCATCGTCGATATAGCGACAGTACACTAATGGCAAGTGCTAATACTTGATCCTCAATTTTACTCACAAAGAAAATCGCCAGTCGGCGCGAGTCTTTAACCTATCGCAAGTCCTCTGGTTTGGTAGCAACAATTCCCAGATCACTTACAAATGTTACAACTCAAGCATGCTTTAATGAGGGTCAGTATGCACGTTTTGCGCAGCCCAAAAGTGACCATGGCGGAATATATTTGTCTAACATCTCCGAAATGGCTTGCAGAGCGGCATTGTTATGAACATTAGTGTAAAGTGATGTTACGACAAAAGATTCGATAACACTACTTTGTTCAACACTAAAGCTTCGCAAATGCTCGACAATTGTTGTGTGTTAGACAAAGTGCATGGATATCCGCCGGAAATCCGGGGATGAGTAATAAAAATGAGCGCATGATAATGACCAGTGACCTCTTGCTCTTTATATCATCATGTCATCTCTAACCGCAGACTGTATATATAGCTTTGACTCACTGAGCACCCCTCAGTGATGTCCGTCACAGTCGTGCAGACTACCAATTCCACGGTAGACTGAAGGTTGAGGACACCCACTTTAGATTGTTTTTGAGTACGTTGTACCTAGAAAAGGTCTAAACGCCGCAAGTGGAGAAGACGTTTTCGTATAGACTGACGAATACAAAACTGCAATCCCTTTCAGTCTTCAAAGAAGACGATGCTTGTCGAAACGTAAGGCAATAAAGGTCCACCGTAAAAACCTCTCTGGCACAAAATCAAAGTCACAAAATCGGTACAATTATTCTAAACATGGAAATGACTGGAAAGAAATGAAGTTAAATAGTGCATCTTGTCCCACTGCTTTGATGATAAGAAGCTGGTGTCAACCTAGCTAAAGCAGCAAAACTCCATAATGCGAAACAAGAAAGATTGGTGGGAGAATTGATCACATAAAATGAAATACAAGTGAAAATACTTGCAACGGTGAATGTGATTTGTCATTTTTAGTCAGTTGCTCGGACAATTCAAGGGAGATTCCGCAAGAAAAGCAAGCAACGGTTCCGCAGGATTTTGTACACTATCACAAAAATGGAAACGTTGAGAATGGGTACTTCCGTAGGATTTTCACGTCAGAGTGGTTGAGAACGGTAACTCCTGCAGGACTTGTTACAAAACGCTGTGAAGAACCCGAAGGATGTCAATGGTTCCGCAGCACTATGCCTGCCAGTACTTTCGTGGGTTTTTAAAGTGTTTTCTCCTACGATGTTGCCTCGCCACAACTAGGCCCGTACTAAACCCTCGAAATGATGTAAATAAAGCGAGGTCACGACGTGTCCGACTGTAGAACATGCTGCTCATGACCATGTCTCTGTCACCGCGAAACTTGTGCGCGCACGCGCCATCAAACCTTTTCTCGGTCGTCTATGCGCACTACCACTGCGCTACACAAACTCTTTATCGCAGATAAATTCAAAGTTGAAGTGAACGAATAAGATGCGGTAGACAAAATATTCGCTTGCGACATCTTTCGAATAAATCATTAAGCAAGCTTCAATATGTATTAGGTTTAACTGTAGATCGTAAAGGTGTGAGCTGCCTCCTATCATCATAACTTATTATAACCGGCTAAGGATGTTTACGTCTTTTTGTCTGTGTGTGTGTGTGCGTGTCTGTCTGCCCGTCACGAAATTCGTAGAGCGTGTTTCAGCCAATATCCTAAACCCAAATTTTGCATGGCGTATGCTACCAGCATGAAAATCCACTATGCAAAAGCGCGAGCGGATCCGTGAGCGGATCCCTCAAAAACTGCGTTTCAAACGTATCCAAGTTCTGGCTAGCAAAACTGTGCATGAAGCAGCACTTATTGCATAGTCATAAGTACGTTTGACAAGCTAATGTGCAAGCCATGGACTTTAGCCCAAAAAAGTGAACAAAAGTTCAATACTTTACGAAGGTCGGGCCAAAAAGACTTGATTGTGTAAACTTCAATTTGCCAAGAGTTTATCTAATCATTTGTAAAAATTTTTGCACAGAGATGTGGCCCACGATGACCACTGTCCTCAAGGCGACTACCACGCCATGAAAACTCCAAAAACCGATTTGAATTTGCATTTGTTCTTCTGGGAAAAGTCCATCCATGGGAAATTACCGATTTCATGTGAAAAAGTTTTAGAAATGAGTAGTTGCTTACGAATCATTCATGATAGTCTGCATAGCGCGGTGAGTTTTGTCATTATTGCGGGAATGAGTAAGACATACAGATAGTGAGACCAGTGCGAGGCTCTGCAAAGCAGAGGTGACGCACTGTGGCCGTATTCATCATTGATACCTTGAAATAAATTCTACCTCCAGATGGTTTTATCACTCATTATCAGCAAATACCCGTATTCACAAAAGTACCTTGAGCTAAATTCTCAAGGTAAATTTTACCTTGAAAATTTACCTCAAGGTGTTTAGAATTGAATGGGAAAATTTACCTCAAGGTACTGTTATCACTTACAATCCGTACTCATCAAACGGACTGCATTTATCTTTGATTCAACTGGTTGAGGTCCGTCAGGGCAGGCCGCTCTCGCTCGCGACGCACCTGCGTCTCTCGCGCGCCAGTGCTCTCTGATCATTACCTAGCCTTAATTAGGTTACGAAGCCGCGCCTTTGCCGAACCTCAGCCAGTTGAATCAATTGTACCTTGAGGTAAATTCTCAATGCAACTTCTAACCCTAGCTGGAAGCACGGTTAGAAGGATACCTTTAGAGATCTATAGACTTCCGGAAGCTGGTTTTTTGCATGAGTAATGCAATAACGTAAATTAGGTCACTGTGGCAATTTTGCGAAATTTTGTCAAGATTATTGAGAGTTATGGAGGTTGAGCGAACTTAAGACAAAATTTCAGTCTATATTCTTAGAAACTTTATACATTCTAACAAACGCGTGGATGGATGTAGTCATACACAGGAGTTATTTTCTTTCACAGCATCTTGAGCACACTGGCTGTGTTTAATCATAAAGTCGAAGTTGCTTGATGAAACTACTTTGAAAGCACCTTCAGAATAATTAGACATTACCAAATGGTGACGTGTAGTGCAACGTAACCCTCGATCCCATTTCCTGACTGGTCATATCGGATTTCAAAGAATGAATTCTCCAAAATGTTTGTATTTCTAATACACGCTGTTCCGCACTTTAGCAGAAAGAAAGAGCTAACTGTTGAATGCAAAAAATAGACAAATGTTTCTGGATGAGCAGGAAAATTTCATTTCAACTCTTCATTTACTCACAACGCACACATGCGGGTTTAAACATTTCTAGTCTTGAGCGAAAAAAATATTACCTAAACCACGAAAGTGACCCATTAAGTTACCGTTTGTACATACTTTCAATGATGATTTTGAAGTTTGGAAGTCAAAACTTCACTACTTTGGAATAGTCGGGCCTGTGTGAACTAGAAAGAACTCAGAACGAGGCAAAAAACATTTGGCGAAGTTTTGCGCACCATAAAAATTCGCAAAGTACTTAAAAAAATTTATCGGTAAACCTCATCAAATAAGGCAGGTTTTAACTCAAACCTAAAGTGACCATGAAAAAAAACTACTTTGACAACTTGGAAGCTTTTGTTAAGACTACTCTCTTGATAACTATGCAAGAAGAACTTTTTCCAGAAAGGTAGGTTTTATCGTTGTGGAAACAATATCACGAATTTAGATCCGATTTAACTAGAAGCAATCAACTTCTCGTTGTTAGATAAACCCCCTTTGGGCTCGAAATAATTGCTTATATAGACTGTACAGTCTCAAAATCATTGACTATAAAACTCTGAAACCGATATTCCAACATGTTCCTCGTGAAAATATCACGGAAATACAAAAGAACAATTTACTGCAAGTGTGGCATGTCGTGCTCCTAATACACGTCAGTCCTAATCATACTGGCACAGGTATATCTAATCTTGAGAGAGAGAGATTTTGATGAATACGAAGATCAAACCTTAAGGTAAATTGTACCTTGAGGTACAGCTCAAGGTAATCATCATTTTAGTTGAAAGCAGGGGAGGATATGTTGGATAAAATCAGTTCTTTTTCTCGAGGACTGCCAAATTTGCCGAAAAGAACTCCGAAGTGTCCAAAAGCGCCGAAAAGCATTGAAAGCGCGCAAAAGCGCCACAAGTTCCTGAAAAATCACTGAGGTCTGCAATCTTAAAGTTATTGGCATGGTCAAGTTCTATTTTTATTTTTTTCGAAACAATTATCGTTTCAGAGACTTCAAAAGGGGCCAAGCAATAGGTAAATAATGCGTAACCAAACAGGGTAAGAACCTTTCAAACTCAAAAACTAAACTTATATAAACTTCTTGAGCACAATAACTCAGATAATTGCCGGAGGCAGGCGGTCATGCGATTTATGGGCGGGCGGGCACCGGAAAAATAGTTCGCTGATTTTTTGCGGTCCGCTTGCAGATATTTGAGAGAATTTTAGCGAAATTTCAGACGAATGCTTGGACAACAATCGCGATTTCCTTATAGATTAGTTGCGGTGCAGTGACCGATCTGCAGCGACGGACTTTCAGCGAGAATTTGCAAAATTGCTGAGAGCCGCACGACTTTTTGTGGAGGACCGCGCAGCCTCCAGGTACTTAAGTACCTCGAACTTGAGTAATTAAACCAACGGTGACACCTCTGCCACACAGAGTCTTGCCTGTGCTCGACGTAAGCCCGAAACTGCGTAAAAAGAGTCGGAGCGCCTGCTGGAAGTTCGGCCTGCGTCTGCTGAAAGAGATTATTTGACGACGCCTGCAGAAAATTCTGTGTTGCTGCCCGCTGGCAGAACATCAGAAAATGAATGAAGTACCGCTCGCTGAAGGTTTGACCACGCCCCAAAATTCTGCTATTGCTTGCAGAAAAACGCGAGTTTGCGGACCGCCTGCCCCGGCGATTATCTGAGAAAGAGCAGTGATTATAATGTGACCGGCGTGATTATCCAACGATGTCTTAGTAGAAAATGCAATCTCATAACCAAAATCTACCACTTAAATGATTGGTATTACATCAGCTTTTTCGGGCTTTCGCAACCAAAAAGTTTTTCCTTCTCAGTGGCAGGACCATCCTCCAAGAATTTATGTTTTAATTCTACAATTCTTCAAAGAAGAAAAACCGGTGTTTTGTGCACGATGGGAATACCAATTTTTTTGAAGTAATGTCATCTTTACGACAAACCCACTTGCAAATTTTAGTTTGCATGCAAAGGATTCAACAAAGTTACACTGTTGCAAAGTTAGGCTGAACGACTTTGTGACACCCTGTACATATTTCTTCGAAGCCACTGCAACTTGCTATCTTCCGCTTATAAGTTTCGAAAATGAGGTGCGAACTCATGTTTTGTCAAAATATGTAGTTTGAGCAAAGAAAATGGCCACAAATTCCCTTTGATCTTTTAAGACCTGAGACATTCTCATTTTATCGTGTTCAAACATGTAAGGGTACTTCGAACCGTCTCCCTGTCAAAACATGTCATCTCGAGCCCGAAGGACACAATTAGCAATAAATTTTGTCCTAGCAAAAGTTCTGTTGGCAATAAAAAAATTTATGCACCGCTAAGAAGTCATAACGTGCTCTACATAAACGTCAGTGTATAACAAGCTGGCAAAGGTAGAATTTACCTCAAGGTGCGTTGATAAATACGAATCGCTTTAGGTAGAATTTACCTTGAGGTAAAATTACTTCGAGTTTAATGATGAATACGCCTCTGGTAACTTATAATAACGGCTAAGGGTGTGTGTGTGTGTGTGTGTGTGTGTGTGTGTGTGTGTGTGTGTGTGTGTGTGTGTGTGTGTGTGTGTGTGTGTGTGTGTGTGTGTGTGTGTGTGTGTGTGTGTGTGTGTGTTTAGTAGAGCGTGTTCCAGCCAGCGTTTCTAGACCAAATTTTGCATAGCGCATGCTACCTTTATGAAAGTCCAACATGCAAAAGCACGAGTAGTTTCGTTGAGTGGATCCCTCAGAAATTGCGCGCCGAACGGATCCACCTGACTACCAAGGCATGACAAATTCAAAAACTATTCAAATTTGCGTTTGTTTTCCTGCGAAAAGTTTCATCCACGCGAAATCACCGATCTCACGTGAAAATACTTTCTAAATGAGCATTTGTTTACATGTTATTCGTGGTAGGTCGACATAGCGCCGTGAATTCCAGTGTTAGGCCCCGGTCAGACTTCACGCGACTTAATCGTCGCGATCTAATCGCCAAGATTTCCATTCATTTTCATCTCACATTCAAAAATTTCGGGCTGGAAAAGTATCACAACCGAAATGCAAGTTGATCGGCATGGAATGATGTTGTAACAGTTGTCTAGTCGCGATTCAGTCGCGACGATCAAATCGCGCGAAGTCTGCCCGGGGCCTTACGATTTTACGAGAATAAGTAGGGCACATAGGTAGTAGAGCCAGTGCGAGCCTCTGCGACGCACTGGTATACATATATAGAGATTGAGAGTTTTTTTTTGAAAGCTCGAAGCTTGTCCTCTTTTCACAAGTGGTATGAGCTTGACCATATAAAATGTAAATGTTATCGTACTTTGAAATGATACTTGAGTCTTGATGCGGTTGTGAATGGGCAAACAGAGTGTTTCATTCTTTAACTTTTACCAGTGTCAAGCGGAATCGAGGTTGCAATTCTTGTATATCTCGCTAGGCACTAATTTGATTTTTGTTCCAGTCAATGGCTGAGGTTAATGGAGAAGATGGCCAAGTCATCACTGCTCCCGCTTCAGTTAGTTTTCTTACTGACCATCGTCATAGAACTCTCACGCTTATTTACCAATATAAGGTGCGGTTCATAATTATACGAACACCCCAAATTTTGAAAGTTTTTGGACTCTTTGGAAGAAACTCAAAAAGTCGTTGGTACCACGCGATAGAATTCAGCCGAAAACAGTACATGATGCTTAAGAATGGAAATTGATGTCAATCATAGGAGTGTTTTTGCGCCTAATGCAAATTTTGAGCGGTTCATAATTATACGAACACCTCAAACAAAGGTCCATTTTTCATTCAAGATTGCAATCATTTGAGTCCAATTTTTTTGTAGAGTTACAGTAACAAAGTTTAACATATCTGCTACACACTGAACTCAGTGCAGTTCAAAAAAGGACCCTTACTTTTTTCAGAAGGCTCTAAATGCTTTTGGAGTAATTGCGCTCCAGAAACATCCGTTCTTCTGTGGTCCACGCGCTCTAATTAGCTTCTACCAAAACTATGAGATAAAATAAGCTCTTTCGATAGGTATTTTGCTTGACGCTTGGAAAATCTCTGCGTTTTCGTGCCGTTTTTCAACCAAGTTCCAACCTTACCACAGAGTTAGCATGATTTCAAGCCTCAAAACTCAGCTTCTTTCTTGCGCAAACATTTGATATGAAGCAGCTGCATTGTTTGCTTGATGATGTTTCTGTGCCAAAGTTTTTGGGTTTTTTGTAGAACTGATCTTGAGGCTGTGGAGCTACAAACCAAATAAAGATGTGATTGCAATAGTAAAAACAGTGTTTCTGGTGAAATGACGTCTGCGTGGCCAAAACAAGCGCTCAACGCTGCTGATTTTTTCTAGCCAAATATACAGTCTTGTGAACTTCTACATACTATGTGCTTACTTTATTGTAGGGCTTCAGAAGCTGAGTTTTGAGGCTCAAAATCGTGCTAACTCTGTGGTAAGGTTGGAACTTGGTTGAAAAACGGCACGAAAACGCATAGATTTTCCAAGTGTCAGTCAAAATATTTATGGAAAGAGCTTATTTTATGTCATAGCCTTGGTGGAAGCTAATTAGAGCGCGTGGACCACAGAAGAACGGATGTTTTCGGAGCGCAATCACTCCAAAAGCAATTGAATCCATCTGAAAAAAGTAACGATCCTCTTTTTGAACTGAACTGGGTTTAGTGTGTAGCAGATATGTCAGATTTTGTTACTGTAAGTCTACAAAAAATTTGGACTCGAAAGATTGCAATTTCGAATGAAAAATGGACCTTTGTTTGAGGTGTTCGTATAATTATGAACCGCTAAAAATTCGCATTAAGCGCAAAAACACTCCTAAGATTGACATCAATTTCCATTCTTAAGCATCATATACTGTTTTCGGCTGTGTTCTATCGCGTGGTACCAACGGCTTTTTGAGTTTCTTCCAAAAAGTCCAAAAACTTTCAAAATTTGGGGTGTTCGTATAATTATGAACCGCACTTTAGTGTCTGCCTATGTCCTCGGGCAGACTTCACGCGATTTTGTTGTCGCGCTTTCATCGCCCGACGGATTGGGCGATGAAAACTAAGTCGTTCCGAAAGTTTTGCCCGATTTCGAATTTTTTGAACCAAATTGTTGTAACTTTCTTTGTTTCAAGGTTTTCGGATGATCTTACATTCTCTAGAATGATCAAGTTTTGGGCTAGCACATAGACACAGTGCCATTTAATAAAGGCAACCGAGAGAGAAACGAAAATCCAAAACTTTCTACGATTTCTTCCTCCAAAACCTTTTGACACAATCACGCTTTCACATGCAATATAGCAGAGACATCTACTTGATATCATTGAAAGCTTGAGATCCCAAGAGTACTTCTTGACTACTGCGAATCCATGTAGTCTTTGTTCACAAAAATTTTCCGTGAGCAAAGAAAAAAGCCGCCTTTTTGACTCATCTTGAGCATGCCAAAACATGCTTCTTTTTGATGATTTGAATTCTTTTACATCTCGCAAACAAAAAGAGTTAGCCGAAGAAAGAGCCCTGGTTGCGCTTAGTTCACTTTAACGTATACAGTACTAAACTTGTCACTGATTACTATGCTTAAATTTCTGGCGCTTATACAATGGCTAAGGAAGGCTTTCATCTTTCGACAGCACAATTGGCAATCAAGACAGTTTTGTTCCGGAAATAGGAATGTGCATATACTAGCTCTTTAATTGTTCATTCGCTTCACACTTCTACATAAAAAACTCCGTTGGCAGATTAGGGAGCAATTCTTGCAAATACAACTTTCTTGGATATTGCAAAACTGTGGCACTCTGCGCGATTAGGCTCAAAAACGCAGAACAATGAAGATTTTGACCAAGATTAGTAAGAAAAAAAGCAAGAAGAGCGCTTTGTTGGTGTAAATATTACCACATAATATGCAAAAAATAAGAGAACTGCTGCATCAAAGAAGAAGCAACAAAAATCGGACAGAACTTTCGGAACAACCTAGTACATGGGCATGTTCTAAGCGATTGCGTGCATTTACACATAAAATAGCTAAGCAACAATTGTGAGTTTTTCCTTCTCCTGCAAATCCCGAAATTGCCCTGTACAATACAGCAACGCAAAATCGCTAGGTTTTTCTGAAATCGTTGCGAAGGACTGTGCCATGGCAAAAAACGGTAAGCGATTCGTCGCGTTGGAAAACTACCACAACCGAAATGCAAGCTGATCGGCATGCGATGATTTTATAAAAATAGTCTTGTCGAGATGAAATTGCGACGATAATCACGTGAACTCTACCCGAGGCCTAAGACTTCAGTAGGCTGTGAAGAGGAGGGCATACGTCACACATCACGCTTTTGATCGCCTCGCGATTCTCCCAACAAGAAACTGTTACCCGGTCTATTACATGTCAAACATCTTGCATTTCGCGTTATTCTTTCGATTGGTCGTGTCGAAAAAATCACAGCCGAAACGCATGATAATCTGCATGCAACGAACTGGTAGCAGTCGTTTTATTAAATGCGAGAGGATGAAATCTCTTGATGCATGCTCAGCGTTCAAAGGCACTAGTGTCAGTACTACTTACCTCGTGCCAAATATCAAATCTCGGCTACTTCGCAAAGCAATATTCTCCTCTGTGGAGACGAGGCATCCATTCTTCCAAACGCTGAATCATGGTTGATAAGTTCAAAGAGCAGTGAGGTTAAGGCAGTGGCTCGGCAAATTTTAGTACTTACTAGGGAAGGATGTAATGTAATCAATGTACTTGTTACAAAATCGATAGCCACATACAGGTATTTTTTGTACAGCTTTTCTCAAATACGAAATTCAAGACTAGATAAGTAGATTCAGAGAAGGATACCAAATTAAATCGACCGAGGATGAGATGTATCCCTAGACGCGTTTCCAACGATGAATGCAAATCTGCTTTCTTTTTTTGTGGTTGAAAGTCCAAAATTGTCAAGTCCCAAGTGGCATGAAATTTAGCGAAAAGCTTCATAAAAACACCCAGGCGGATTTCCATTGGTTGTGCTATTCTTCTTGAAATCAACGTACTTGTTAACAAATTGACTAGCCACTTTCAAGTATATTTGTACAGCATTTCTTAATACGAAATTTAAAACTAGATAAATTTCTCTTCAATTGCCAACTTAAGTTGGTATCCTTCTCAATTCGATTATGATTAGACCAGTGCGTCACCTCTGCTTTGCAGAGGCTCGCAATGGCCCTACTTTATTCATGCCTTACTCATTCCCTCGTAATAATTACATTAAAACTCACCGCGCTAGGTAAGCTACTACGAATGATTCGTAAACAACTACTCAATTCTAGAGGTTTTTCGTGTGAGATCGGTATTTTCGCATGTGTGAAATCTTTCCCAGAAAAACAGATTCAAATTTGAATTTTTTGGAATTTTCATGGCTTGATTGTTGCCATAAGGACAATAAACATCGTGGGCTACATCCCTGTGAAAAAATCTTCTTAAATGATCAGGTAAATTCTTGAAAAATTGACCGTTTACACAGCCAATGCTTTTTGGCGCTGTTTTCGTAAAATAGTAGATTTTTCATCACTTTTTTAGGCTAACGTTCATGGCTTGCACATTAACTTGTCAAATGTATCCATAACTCTGCAAAAAGTAGTACTACAGACCAGTGGCGTACCCAGGATTTCGGCTCGGGGGGGGGGGGGGGCGCGGCAAAAAAAATTTTCAAATGAAGGTGCGTGGCGTTAGCCACGCACTCCGGAAAAATTTTAGGGGGGCTTCTCAACAATTTTGCGGGCCCCAAACCCATAAAATCTGGAAAAAGGGGGCGTGGCGTCAGCCACGCCCCCGAAAAAATTTTTTTTATAAGGCTAATTTGAATTTTTGAAAAATTTTAAAAATTATTTTAATTGTTTACAAAAATAAACAAGTCATTTGCACATTTTTATAACGCATGTAAGTAATTTTCAAAAATTTCGCGACCCGTTCTCGGGGGGGGGCGCGCGCCCCCCCCCCCCCGCCCCCCCCCCCCCCTCGGTACGCCACTGCTACAGACCCAAATTTGCTGGCCAGAAGCCAAGTGGATCCGTTTGATGCGCAATTTTCAACGGATCCACTCAACGGATCCGCTCATGCTTTTGTCTAGTGAGCTATCATGCTGGTAGCGTGCGCTATGCAAAATTTGGGCTTAGGACGTTGGCTGGAACACGCTCTACGAATTTTGTAACGGATACACACACACACGCACACACAGACAAAAAGACGTAAACACCCTTAGCCGGTTATTATAAGTCATGATGTTATACGATAGGAATCTTTCCACCTAAGCGATTGCTCAAGTACGTTGCACATCTAATACGAATTACTTTGTTCAAAATTCACTCAGAAACCCCACCTCAACTCTTAGCCAACTTAAACATCGCATCCTCCTCGCAAATATCAAGAAAAATTTGTAGGACCAAAAAAACGTTATTGGGAAAGTTCAGCATCATTGAAACACACGCAAGTTTCCAGAAAGCTTGTTATTAGGTAGTCCCAAAAGTAAACTCCATTTCCAATTAATTGAGCCGTTTTTTTCGAAATGGTACACTAATAGACTCAGTGAACCATTCGATAAAACGAAGCAAGCGCTACAAAAAGGCCACCAAATACCCATCAGTCGCGAGCTAGGTAATATTTGGAGCCAAAATTTAAAGCTTATCAGCTACCCTGGGAATCGGATCTCCTTCAAGAAAATTTCTTTCAACTTGGTCTTCATATAGTGGACACATAGTGGTACTCAAAAATTTATTTGTGAATTTTTTCGGGGCTTAAAATTGAATGGTCCGAAAATGCCAAAATGCCACTTTTTTCCGGCTTTTGTGTAGAACTTGGTATTTCCCGATTGACAGAGTAGTAATATGTGCTTACTATTAGTTACCAAGCTTGAGGTTCGTAGGATTCGCAAAAATCCAATTTTCAAGTGACAAATTTTCTTTCGATTTTGGTTTCAAATTTTACATGGAATGCGACTTAGGCGGATCGTTGGTGGCGTATATTGTGAAGCTTATTTGCTCTATCAAATGATACCCTAAGTCTACTAGGAAAACAAAACAGCATGAGTTATTCAAATGGAGTTTACTTTTGGGACGACCTAACATTTAGTCAGATTATAGCACGTACCTCTGCTTTCGCACGGCGCACAGTGGGCAAACTTGTTTTAATCTCACTGGGTAATAAGAACTATTACGAATGATGTGCAAAAAGTAATTATTCTACAAGGTTTGCCATGTAAGGCCCCGGTCAGACTTCACGCGACTTAATCGTCGCGATCTAATCGCCAAGATTTCCATTCATTTTCATTTCACATTCAAAAATTTCGGGCTGGAAAAGTACCACAACTGAAATGCGAGCTGGCCGGCATGCAATGAACTCGTATCAGTTGTCTCGTCGTGATTCAGTCGCGACGACCAAATCGCGTGAAGTCTGCCTGGGGCCTAAGGGCGGTAACCTCAGGCAGCAAAGACATCCCATCAAAAAGTGAACGCGACATAAAAGTTGTTAAGTTGATTGCAATTTTGTAGTTTCCATAGGGGCAGTAGTTGATGCATTATCTCTAGGTTTTTAGCCTCTCTAAATAAACACTGAAAAATTATAGTTTTCCAAAAACAGACTTTTTGATTACATTTCATCGAAGTCTAGCCCAAATTTTGAATTAAACGAATAATGAATCTGCAAGTTGCGGAAGCTCATGTGGATTAAAAGCCATGTGGATCCGTTTGACACGTGTCACTGACACACTGCTCACTCTGATCTACTTCACAAACAGTACATCGTAGCATCTGCGCTATGACCGCTTAGCAATCTTCCTTATTAATGGCCAATGGCTGATCGCAAGATTAACGCCAGCGCTTTCGTACTACCTCAATTAAGGGTTCATTTAACATATTATATAATATTTAGAGCCAACGAGAGTCGACAGCAGAAGGTGCGGGACTGCCAGAAACCGATTTATCTGCGCCGCTAGGAGTGCGAGCAAGGGAAATCACCATTCATCCCGTTCTGCAATCCAATCGCCAGTCAGTGCTTCATGAAACTGTGAGAAACATTGCTAGCTACAGCTTCCACTACAGCTGCGCAGATATCACTTTACTTGTCTAGGATCGTCTAGAGCAGCAACAAATCGTAGAAGGTGAGGGATTGCCAGAAGATGATTTGTCCACACCTTTGGCTAAGCAAGCTTTAATGTATGGTGCACGTGCCTCTTCGCAATATAGACTGAGGAGCGAACGAGAAACTGTAAGCAATTCAAATGCTCGTGTAAGCTGCTACAAAAAAGAACAAGGCGTATTACAGGCATCTACGCAATCTGTACAGCCAGAACAGCAACATCAAAATGCGCAACAATTTAGGAAGTGTGAGGGAATGTTAGAGGTTGATCTATCTGTTCCGCGTGTACCTGCTGCGGGAAAAACATTACATCCTTTACGACAGCTTGATACTGTGAGTACTATTTTTATATTCGAAAACTGCTGCAGTCGTACCATTAGGCACTTGATCATCCACGGATAAGCGCCGTAGGTGAAGGACTACCAGAAGCTGACCTGTCCGCACCATTATCTAAACAGGCCTTGATGTATGGCAAACATCCTTCTTCGCAGTATAGAATGCATAGCGAGCGAAAAACTGTATGTGTCTTATCTGCTAGTCTACCGCTTTAGTATTTTAATATCTACAGGGTCTTTCAAATCAAAGAATGCCCTTTGAGCATACCAGGTTACAGCCTGTTAGCCAAACGGTTAGTGTGAAAAACTCGTTTGTAAATTGAGATATCGCGCAAAGTAAGTTGCTAACAGGAGCAAAGAGAAGAAGAAGGATTACCGGAAATTGATCTGTCAGCTCTTAAAGCCCAAGCAATGGAAGGAAGACCAGGCTATGCCTCAGAAGCAAACACTCGTGTGAATTTTGTGAGAATGACTCCTTATGATGTATGATTACCAGCTTGAAAATCTTGGCAGGATCAAAGGCAGCGTGCAGAAGGAGAAGGAATGAAAGAGTTTGATTTGTCCGCCTTGAAAGCTCTAGAAGGTTCAGAATCTGCTTCATATCCCCCTTTAAAGCCATCAATGTTCCGCGAAAATGTAAGAGGTCTGTTTAATGCTGAAATCTTCTAGACAATTTTGACATAGGATTATCAAAGAAGTGCTGAAAACGAGTATTTGCCAAGACTAAGCCAATTAACAAACATAACAATGCAAGCTCCCGAACTCACCCATCGTTTTCCAAAACCAGCAACAGTACGTTCCAAAGCGCTGAGATCTCTACCCCGCTTTTGAGAGTATTAGTTCTAGGACCACTTGACGGAGCAAAGAGAGGGTGAAGGTCTACTAGAAGCTGATTTGTCCATTCCTCTTACGTGTCGTGCGCCGGAATCCACTTCTCGTTCGTTACCACAACCAACACAGCAGTTATCGCTTCCCCATGCCTCAGAGGTCATCTATTTGCTGCAGCAAATTAGTGACTGGCAATAGTACCTTTTGCAGAGAGAAGAAGATAACCAACAATTAAAGGTTCCTTCAAAGCAGAGAGAAGAAGGTGAAGGATTGTTAGAAATCGATCTGTCTGCTCCTCGGCCGAATCAAGGTGGAGGATTTGTGCTACGTCCCTTTGGACAAAGAGGATGTTCTTCTTATTCACAACAAGAACGAAGACGACGAGGATTTGTGAGTTCTCAAAGTACCAAATTAGCATAAACCGCCCTCTCATACTTCCATTCTCCCGAGTCTCACACAACTGCAAAAGCTCAAGAAATGTTTGCATACTTGAAGCAACCACAATACCAATAATGTCCTAGCAATAATGCCCAAATTGAAGCTTGCGGTTGACGTCTCATTCAAGCAAGGTCATGATTGCATGCTGTCTAAACAAAATCAATAATGCACGCTAAATCTCCCACATCTAGCACTCGCTAGCTATGAATCGCTTTCAAAAACACTCCTGCTGGAACTCCTTTTCGCACAAAATTTTATGTTGACGTATGGATTGTCGAATGTCGCTTGAAAGAACAGTTCCATATCAAAAACGTTTGCAGATTTATCGAAGATGTAGACGTACCAGTGAGGTACATAGCAGAAAGATAACTCCATCAATTTGAGAACAACATAGAACTTGCTCAGTAGAAATTGCATATGTTCAGGGAACTTCTAGTTTTGGCTGTGTTTTTTCTCATATCATCCAGATGGAATACTCCCGTAGTTATCCGAAGCAAAAGTAATTGTACATCTACAAGTAATGGTATCGCAAATAACTGTAGATTTGTAGTAGTACCTTGTGCGCATCATTCAGTATGCAGAGGGCTGAACGTATATCAAACTATTATCGTTTATAAGTAAAAGAATATCCGCAGGCCCATTTGGAGCAATGGCAGAGCAGGGAAGGCGATGGATTGCCAGAAACTGATCTTTCAGCACCTAACGCAATGCGGGCTAGAGAATTAGTGGTGGGACCTACTACGCAGTCAACAGTTCGTCACGATAATGTTACTCCTAAAATTCGACTGTAGTAGACAGATTACTTGCTAACTGCAGAATAACCAGGGACCCATCATAACTGGAGAAGATGAAAGAGTACCAGATGCGGAATCTCTTGCAGAGCAACCGCCAGCAGAATTGCGCGAAGTTGTAAGTAAACAATACTGTCATCTAAGCATTCGAAGCTAGTGCTGATTATTAGGCTCAAGAAGGCCATCCGCCGAATAAACAGGAAAGAGAAGGCATGCTAGAGGTTGATTTGGTGGGAGCCACAAAATAAAGGTCAGTAAGTTGCTAGTGACAAGAGAGGTCTCGAGGTTTCATTGTTGGTATTTAGGATATGATGTATGCAAGAAAGTAAAAAATTGAAAGGGTGATACCGCACGCAAAACGTAAATATTAAGTACTTTGCGCCTCCGAAAAAAAATTTTTCTAACAAAGAAAAGAATACTCAGTGACCGCGGCCATTTGGAATGTGATGCAACCACAAGATGCACCTCGTAGCGCTGATTCTAAATCTGTACTCGACTGCGAAATGATCTTCTGAAGAAACTTATAAACTTTTTTCCTTACATTGGAAAATTTGCGTACTTTTGGGTAGTTGAAATCACCAAATTTGTTTCCAGGTTAATGTTTGAAGCTATCGAAGAGAATCTTAAAAGGTTATACCTATCTAAATTATATTCAGCATCTGAAAAGGAAAGAAAATTTTTTATTGACGATTTTGACCCTCCGCTCTAGCGCAATTATTCATGCAAGAATAATCATAACTGCATGCAGATTATCGTTTCGCAGATGTGGAAGATAATATTCGAACGAACATTGAAAGGCGCACTTTTCGCATCATACAAATTATTACGAAGGCCATGGTGACCAAGTATCCTCCCCTTGTAAGGATAAAATAAATTTTTGAAAAATTTCAAAATTTATTTTATAATATTTATTTACAAATGCAGACAAGTCATTTGCACAATTTTATAACCCATGTAAGTACCTTTCAAAAATTTCGCGACTTGTTCTCGGGGGGATGCCTTCCTCGATACGCCACTAATATATATACCAGTGCTTCACCTCTGCTTCGCAGAGGTTCGCACTGGCATCGTGAACCGTGGTAAACTCACTTTCTGAGAGCTTGTCTCTCAAATCATTGTTCGGGTTATTGCAAAGTGAGCCGTAGTCAAAAATGAACCATACTCGCTATCTTAACCTCACATGATGTTTAGTATCGTAAATCATTCCTCACTGTAATTTCGTAACGGACAAACTCCACACAACTTCAGATTAAGCCGCTTATTATAAGTCATGATATATATATATAACAGCTGGCTTACCCAGCTCCGCCTGGCCCTGTCAAACACTGTAATAAAGGTCCCATCCCTATCCCTGTACAGCCTTTCCTTGTGCACACACATGCAGTTCCCTATTCCCCCTGTGTTAATAATCAGCATGCTCACTTACCTCCCTCAACAACCCTCAGTCCCGTAGCTCAAACTTTGCGAAAAAAAATAAAAAAATAAAATCGATAAAAGTAAGGGTAATTTTAAAAACTGAAGGCGCTATTCGGCTATCCGGGCCCCAAAATGTTTTTGTGACGGATCTTGCTCAAACTCGGTATAGGGGGGTTATTTGAGCCGCTGATGACAAATATTGTAGTCATTTTGCGTGGCAGCGGGTAAAAATCATGAATCTGCCTGAAAGGAAATTGGAGGAAATTACCTAAAGTGCTGTTTCAAGAACATCGTGCTTAATCCCCACGATAAAGGCAATTCGTGTGGTATAAAAGTTGCTCACGACCGTAATGCTTTCCCAATAGGACCACTGCCGCGCGCGATACACCCTTCGGCAGCTTTTGCCTAAGCAAAAACAGGGGGAGGGAGATTTGCCGCGCGCGTCACGCGTTGGGACAGGTTATCAGGATGGCGCTGGAGACCGCCATGCAAAGCGACCGTTTCCCCATTTCGCGAATATCTGGGATCAAAAATGGCCCGTAAGCGAAAAAATGTCCATTCAAACCCTGCAACTCACCATAACTTCACAATAATGCGTTATGACAGCGAGCAAGCATCATATTCATAAGCAGTATACTTGTGAACCGTTACAGGTAAGGTTTTCAACAAATCTGGAACTTCGACCCATCTACACCCACCGTAACCCAAGATAATGCACTACCCTGCGGAATCAGCACGATATTCACGTTCAGCGCGCTAAATCACCACCCTAAACGAAGTTTAAAGCAAATCTATGTTTTCAACCCTATACCGTATAACCACCACAACTCTATGAAAATGTCCCAATATGCAGAGAGAGTATGAAATTTGTACTCAACATGTCGAATAAGTTCTCTGGACCGAACTCCAGCCGAATTCATGATTTTGACTTCCTACCGTACACTACGGTAACCACATGGGGAGACGTTCTGCGGAGAAAGTGTGATATCTGTAGTCAGCATATAGATAACCCTTATGCACGAAGTTTGAGCAAGCTCTAAATTTTGGAGCCCGGATAGCCGAATAGCGCCAAACTAATATTGTAATCGTAATCAGCATGCTCGATTACCCTACTGTGCAAACCCAGCCCCGCAGGTCAAACTTTACAATAAAAATCGATAAAATCGATAAAAGTAATGAACTTTTTCAAAAACTAATATTGTACTCGTAATCAGCATGCTCGATTACTCCGCTGTGTCAACTCCCAGCCCCGTAGCTCAAACTTTGCAAAAAAATCGATAAACTCGATAGAAGTAATGGAACATCTTGAAAACTGATATTGTATCCGTAATCAGCATGCTCGATTACCCCCTGTGCCAACTCCCAGTCCCGTAGCTCAGACTTTGCAAAAAAAATCGATAAAATCGATAAAAGTAATCGATAATTCTGAAAACTAATATTGTATTTGGAATCGCCATGCTCACTCGCTCACTGCCCCCTGTGCCAACTCCCAGCCCCGCAGGTGAACTCTGCAAAAAATCGATAAAAATCGATATCGATCGATGACGAAAAGTAGCCTATGACACCCGTCGGGGCCCGAAGTGTATGTGTGCCAAGTTTGGTCCGGATCGGTTCAGAAATAGAATTTTCTATTTAGAACATACGTACAGACAAACAGACAAACAAACATTTAGCTTTATATTTAAGATAGTTATATATTAGGTTGGCCCGAAGTTCTGTCGCACCATTTTCAAAAATTCATAACTTCTGATTTTTCCGATTTGATTGCTTTTATTTTTATGTGAAAGAGTAAGTCATGGTCTTTATAATGACATCTTAGATGCTTACTAATGATCATCTGTTGCATAGATAGGAGCGGTAGAAGAAAATTAGTCAAAATTCGAATTTTCTGTGTAGGATTATAAAAAATCGAAAACTTGCAACAAAAATCGGAGCAGTCGGTATTGTAGGTTCTTTCGCCAGCTCTTTTTAACTGTGCAAAGTTTTCGCTGATTGAGCGTCTCTATAAAAATTTACGATTTTCCTGAAAAATGCCAAAATAAATCAAATTTGCCCTTTTGTATTGCTTGCTTGAAAATCATAACTTTTCATAGAGACGCTCAATCGGCGCAAACTTTGTACTGTTGGAAAGAGCTTGTGAAAGAACCTACAATACCGACTGCTCCAGTTTTTGTTGCAAGTTTCCGATTTTTTATGACCCTACACAGAAAATTCGAATTTTGACTAATTTTCTTCTACCGCTCCTATCTATGCAACAGATGATCATTAGTAAGCAGCTAAGATGTCATTATAAAGACCATGACTTACTCTTTCACATAAAAATAAAAGCAGTCAAATCGGTTGGAAAAATCAGAAATTATGAGTTTTTCAGAATGGTGCGACAGAACTTTCGGGCCAACCTAATATATTAGGTTGGCACGAAAGTTCTTGCGTAATTCAAACAAAATTCAATAACTTTTCAATAGCTTAACATAAATTCACAATCTTGTTCTCTAAAAATATTAGAAGGCCTGCGCTCCATGATGGAGGCATCGCAAAATTTTATGAGCTAGTTCCGGAAAACGAAGCTCTCAAATATGGGGCTTCAAATTTTGCGATTTTGAGTCTGGTGCTAGAAATTCGCAGAGGGCCGCTAACTAGCCGGAAAAATCTACAGAACTTACTTACACAGCAAAAGTCCATACGTTATCTTAGCAGGCTTTGATCTCGCATGGAAATGCGAAAACAAAAAATTTGTGGAATTTGTAATTTTACAGAATAAATTCCCTTATCGCTGTAATTTTTCCATAAAAACACAGTTTGCAACCAGAAATAAGACATAGTGCCTATTTAGAACTTCGCGACGTTTTTTGGAGTGTATAAAAGCGTTTTCGCCGAAAAACTGCGTTAATGAGAGGATTTTTTTCGCCAAATGACATATTTTAGGAATATTCTGTTTTTGCTTTACCGTACAAGATCAAAGCCACCAAACTCAAAATCGCAAATTTTGGAGCCCCATATTTGAGAGCTTCGTTCTCGGGAACTAGCTCATGGAATCTTGCGCTTAAACCTCCATCATGGAGCGCAGGCCTTCTAGTATCTCTAGAGAACAAGATTGTGAATTTGGGTTCAGGTGTTGAAAAGTTATTGAATTTTGTTTGATTTACGCAAGAACTTTCGTGCCAACCTAATATTAGGTTGGTGCAAAAGTTCTGTCGTTTCATTTTCAAAAATTTACAACTTCGTGAGATTTCAACGGATTTGCTTGCTTGTAATTTTATTAGAAAGATTAGGTCTTTCGCTTTCAATCGTTGTTTTGTGGAGCTTCTGTTTCATACTGGGTGCGGAGATGAAAAATGGAAATCTAAGACCATTTAAGCTTTGACCATTTTAAGTTAGGTCACCAAAAATCTGGAACGCTGCAGAAAAATCTGAAATTGTCAGTACATATGGTTTTTGGCCTACCTTTTGCATCTGTGAAAAGTTTGTGCTGTTTGGACGTTTGTGTGGGAAATTATGAATATCGAGGTTACTATGGAAAACGCCAAAATTAATTAATTTGTCAATTTTCGCGAAAATCATAACTTCTCACAGAGACGTCCAACCGGTACAATTTTTTCACCAAGGGGATGCAAAGGGTAGGTCAAAAAACATATGTACTGCGATTTCAGATTTTTTTTGCAGCATTCCAGATTTTTGGTGACCTAACTTAAAATAGTCAAAGTTTACATGATCTTAGTTTTCCATTTTTATCTCTGCACTCAGTGTGAAACAGAAGCTCCACAAAACAATGATTGAAAGCGGAAGACCTAATCTTTCTAATAAAATTGCATGCAGACAAATCCGTTGAAATCT